GAACCCTAAATCTTACTATTACTAATTATTTAATAATATATATTTATTATATTTATAAATATTAAATCATTTTTCTGAAAAAAATATATAATCGTCATAAGAGATAGAATATTTGCTTCAATCATATAACTTATATGGTTTATGAAAAATAGATTTTATATTATTAATAATTTTAATCATATTATATTCCTATTTGTTTTGATGCATCGGATTAACTTTTTTTTCATAATATTAATGTATATGAATATTTAATTGTACCATAAATAAATATAACACAAATAAATAATATTTATTTAACATTATTAAACAATGGTATCATGTAATTAACTTAATATACTAAGAATAAATTATGTATACAATTTTTATTCTTTGTATTGCAATTAATAATATAAGAAGTGCTATGTTATCATATACAATTAATGGTTTAATATTAAGGATTCCATTTTTTCAAACGAATGATACATACTTATATATTATTCCCGTAAGGATTGTTCTAAAAATATATATGATTATTAAGGTGATACTGATTTTTTTGTATGACTCTTAAGAGTAATATAATTTTATCGTATAAACATTACATTTTTAAACATGTCTATTAAATATTTTATTATATAATATTTACTAATTTATATTTTAACTTTTGTATGCAGCACACTTGTACTTATAATTCTCAAATGTAATAATTATACAATAATATAATTTAATAAGTCAAGCAAAACTGTCCTATGGGGAAAAATTTCTTTAAATATTAAAATACATAATAGAACAAAAGAACATATATGTATACGGTTACTCCATGCTTTAGTGAATAAATATTAATAGGGACATTATTTATAAAATTAATTTTTTTTTAGATAAAATATAATGAAACTTCCTGAAACAAATAAAACGGTACCTTATTATTTTTTGGAATATATAAATTACATAATATTACATGAACATTATGGAAAATTTGAGAAAAATTTTTATTTTTTCAGATTTGTATATTATATGGATTCTTCATTATTTATATATTATCTATTAGTATATTAACTGGAAGGATTATATCCTTTTTAGAAAAATTTTTGAATCGTTGCAAATATCTATACAAATTTCTGAAGATATTATTAGTTTCATTGTGCAGAATCCTGTTCACGTAGGTGTGGAACGCAATAAATTTATTAATATTTGTCAGATAATAAGAGACCTTTTTAATATTATGTCTTCTAATGATTCTTGTAAAAACGGAAAATGTTGTAACTATATTAACTACTATATTAGAGAACAAATTAAACAGTTTTTTCCTTTAAAAGTAAATGATATTTTTGAACATTTTAAGAAATATGTTGAAAGTAAGAAAACTAATGAATCTTATAAAACATGTATGCCGGAAATAAAATATATACAAGAACAAGAATTTGATAAAATGAAGGAATTATATCAGCTATATGAATATTATGAATCTATTTTAAATCCGGACTCAGAAGATAATAGCGATCCTAATGGTTGCAGCGAAATAAAAGATTTCATTGTATCATATAATGAATTTATCGAAACATATAATGATGATATACCTTTGCACGAAGAATTAAATCATCTCAGATGCTCAATTGAATATAATGATTTATATAATAATTGCAAAAGTGAGTTAAGATAAAAATATCAAAAAATGTAATTATTCCACGGGATAAAAATAATTGTAATGCATTTGTAGAAAAACAATATTTAAAGGAATATTCAGAAAGAAACAATACGTACTTTAGTGCAAGTACTTATATTCCACATGCTAATATGAATGTTATAATACCAACTACACTTAGTAGTGTATTTTTAGGAATAGTACTTTATATTATCTATAAGGTTAAATAAAATTTTATTTAAAATTTTTTATCTTATACAGATAATATTATTATATATTTAAAAAAAAAAATGCATTCATCAAGTAATTATAATTATAACATCCATATATATTTATTTAATACTAGTTTACTGCATCAAGAAATTATTTACGAAACCGCTTTCTCAGAATGAGAAGAATGAATAGAAATATAATTGACGAAACGTACCAACATGAAATGTGTAACAAAAAACATTATCATGGTGCGTTGAAAGAAAAATGTTATAATGTATCATATGTTTCAGAAAGAAAATACTAATATACTTATTTAAAAAGATGATGTAACTATTATGCAATCATAATTATATTACTGAATATTGGTTAACTAAAATTAGAAAATTCCATATTCATATATGTATGATACTAATAATGCTACTAAAAAAATAAAATAAAA